CATATCAACGCTACAAGTATAAAATTGGCAAAAAAATCATAAATTAGGGGGACACTACCTATTTTTTCATTTTTTTATATCTTGTTGATAAATATTTATTTTTTTTAATTAAATGGAATAGGGGAATGCAAGGGTGATTTTATTGAATAAAAGTCAACCGGCACTTGCCACATTATCCCTATGAGATACTCCACATAAATTATCAAACACTCCTAAAATAATAATATCGTGCTTTAGAATTGCTCTCGATAATTTTAGAGGTTGCATCATTTTTTACGGTGTGGTATGTGTTCCATTGATATATATATGCAATAGACACTCAATTTCACAAATCTATAATATAAATCTCCCAACTTTAATTTGTATTCCCTCGCACACTACAAACAATAAAACTAAGAATCCTAGCCACCATGACTAACAACATGAGATCTCATTATATTATAGAGAACTGACTATTCGATATAACGGACTGCAATCACTACACAATATAACAGACTGCAATCACTATATTGTAGGTGATCTTTACTGACTAAAGATCTGAAAAGGAAGAAGAGTATATGAGGCTTACCATCAATGATATGGCTACTGATGTATCAATGGAAGCACTTATTAGGTTAAACTATGATGGCTAAGTTTGATGAACTTTAAGTTTGACGAATGAACAAAGAGTTTAAACTATGATGGCTAAGTTTGACGAGAGAACAAAGAGTAGGGTTATGGTTGATTGGGTAAGTATTGTTTATTTTACTCTAACCTTTTTAGGAAGTGCTTTGACCATAACATAAGAAATGAATATTACTTTTTTTCGAGGAAAAAAAATAAGATACGTTATTACGATTAAATTTTATTTATTTACATTATTACGATTAATATAAATTGTAATACGTAGTAAATGTACATGGATCATAATTATTTTAGGATATTGTAGGGGATATTCCCTCATAAGTATGTTGACTTTCAATACGACTCGTTTCAGCTTGACATGTTTCCTCATCATTCTTGTAGGGGGCTAAGGAGTGCTTTGACCAATACAATGTGAACACTTGCATTGATCACCTTTGACCGCCGCAAAAAAACTATACTTGTTTTTAATTTCTCGAATTTTTTATTCGAGTTCCGTACTAAGGATTGAATTTGGTATGATACCGATACAATGTTAGTTTTCCCTCCCTAATAATTTATTCCCAAGTGCATGCATAGGCTTTTTTTTCGAGTATAAACTATTAATCTACTTTGAATAATGACCTTTTGTCTACAAAGAAAGGCAAAATTCCGGTGATTTATTAACAATAATTATGTACTCAATTTAAATTAGATAAAAACTTTTACAACTTGCCAATTTGCATAATGCCATATTCTATTTATAATTGCAACAAGTTTTATAGACAGTAATTAATAATATTATTGGCTGTAATATTGTGTATCGTATAAAAGTTTCATGTGTGATCAATCAGATCATGTAAACATTATTATTATAACATCAACAAAAATCCTACTTTATTTCTAAATTGTGTTTTTACTTAAATTACTACATAAATTTCAGTACTATACCATGCATTTAGTACAGTACACATAGTAGTGGTAAATATGAGATTGATTGAAATCATAATGAAACAATGATGTTATGGTTTTAGACCTTGATTAGTATACGTGTATCATGTATTAAGTTCAATTATGAAGATTATTTTATTTGATACCTGAAACTATTGATATGAGTCAAACTCACTTCTTTTGTAAGTTTCTAAACTCTATACCTTGGGTCAACGTGTGAGGTATGGATTTAAACTTCTTAAAATCGTCAAAAAACACATGGCCTGGTTTGAATTTCGATTCTAAACCCATACCTCATACATCAAACCTAAATTTTGTGAGTCGGACCAATTAATCTCGCTTGTGGTTATAATTTATGTCTTGATTTGCAAGTTCGAAGTCGTATCAATTTGCGTGCGGAAAAATGGCTCAATTTAAACTTTTTGAGGGTCATTTTAGTTCTTAAAAATCCAATTTGAGGTCAAATTGACAAAGAATTATCAGAAATGCTTCGTTTTGCATGCCAACAATGTCTCAAAAAGTTCATTTTGATCATACCCAAACCAAAATGTTCCCGGTATTTTTTGCCAATTTTCAAAATTTAATCGTTAAGAACCAAACGACCCCCAAAACTTTAATTGAATAATTTAGTTCATTAGATAAGGTCCTTTTTCGTCAACTTTTTTTAATAGGCCATTTTTGACGAAAGTATTACCATAAATAGCTCTTTATGACAAATTAGCCTAAATGTTTTAAAACGGAACATGCATATTGCTTGGGAATGTGAAAGCAATAAGGGGCGTTTGGTTCGCTGTAATGGGGAAAGGGAATGGGAATGATTACTTTGTTGGTGTTTGTTTTCCCTCTTTTGTCATTCTTATTCCCCCTTTTTATTTTTGAGTTTACCCAAAATCCTCCTAATCCATTCCCCACCCCCCACCCCCTACCTTTCCCATTCTTTCCCCAACCACCACCATACCCCTTAACCCTAAACCACCTCGCCGGGACTAGTAGCACCTCGCCGGATGCTCGCCGGCCTTCCCCCGACCCTCGCCGCCCCTCCTCCCACCCGAAAACCCTTCCCCACCCACGTATAACCCTTAAAAAACCCTCCCCTCCACCGAACCAAAGGTTGCACCTCACCGGACGTGGTTTGTGGGGTTGCTTGGCTAGGTTTCGGTCGTGGTTTTGTCACACCTCACCGGACATGGGTTTGGATTTCAGTCGTGGTTTGTGGGGTTGCGTGGTTGGGTTCGGTCTTGGTTCGTGGGGTTGCTTGGCTGGGTTTCGGTCTTGGTGGTTCTTGGGGTGGCGTGGGTTTGGATTTGGGTTCGTGGAGGTCTGCATGAGGTGCGGCCGGTGGGGTGGCTGTTGGTTGGGAGGTGGGTGGCTGGAAAAAAATGAAGGACAGGTGTTGTGGTGGTGCAATGGTGGTGTGATTCCCTAACTTGTTTATGCTTAATTTTGAGGGTTTCGTTTCATTCTCCTCCATTCCCTTTTTGTATTTCATTCTGATTCCCCTGTGTGAACCAAACGGCCCCAAAGTGATTAGGCAAAAGGAAGAGAAACTTAAGGCAACACAAAGCATGTGGTAATATAATTTACTTAATTTGATTAGGCAAAGTGATTAGGCAAAAGGAGTCAAAACTATAGCTTCTTAATGCTTATAATTTACTTAATTTGCCGACCCCTTTATTATTTATCACCGCCTTTCACTGTTCTTGGTCACAACACAACCAACTTGATTGATACTATGAATTGGATATAATAATATTTTATTTTGCTTAGTTTCGTTGAAGATACATGTGAGATAGTTTTATAGTCCATGAAATTCAATTTTAATTAAAAGAACAAAACTACAACCTTTGAGAATGAGGTCATCACTAAAACAAAGGAGATTATTATCAGGTTACATTGTTACAAAGTACTAACTATGTTCTTCGATAGTTCATCCATTTTGATTAACCATATACTTATTATGAAAAATGTAACAAGTAATATCTTACCACAAAGAAGTCCGTCATTCATATCAAAAAAAAAGGAAAAAAAAAGTCCGTGATTCAAGTCGTAAGGATGATGATCAACAATTATGTACATATTTCTCTTATGAAACAAATAGAATTATATCTACAATATATACTCGACAAAAAAGTTTAATTATCTAACATGAGTAGTCATGCTTTCAAAGAAGATTTTTTTTTTTTTTTTTTTTTTTTTTTTTTTTTGACATGAAAATTAAACTATGTATCTTGTACTCCAGTATTTTGTAAATCCCTTTTTTCATGCTCATATGCTTACTACAAAATCAACAAATTATTGGCTCACTTGATAAGTTTTTTCTTACCTCAGATGCTAGAGATTTAAAGTTCGAATCCTACCAAGTAATGTAGTCAATAACAAAACGATAGTTAAATAGAAGAAAATAGTATAGAATTAGGACCTGCTCACTTGTTCAGTTCACCTTTAAAAAAAATAATCAGTAAAAATAATTTCAGTTCAGCAAAAATAATTTCAATTCAGTAAAAAAAAAGTGCAGTTCAGTAAAAATAATTTCAGTTCAGCAAAATTAATTTCAGTTCAGTAAAATTAATTTCAGTTAGTAAAAATAATTTAAATTCAGCAAAAATAAGGTGAAATGAACAAGACCTTAAAGATAGTTATCCTCCTATCACAACTTCACAAGGCATTCACTATGATCATCGATAGTTCTAACCAGTTTACCAAATACTTGTATGAAAAACATAGCAAGTCTTATCTTAATAGCCACAAAGAAGTCCATCCCATGATTCATGTCACATACATTTAGGAATACGATCAACAAGTTATACCTACCCAAACATTGAAGTACATATATATTTTTATAGGCCTAAGTAAATTTTTCTTTTATGAAAATTAATAGAAATATATCTACATTAATTTCACTAAACAAAGTTTAATTATCTAAAAAGAGTATGTACTATGTAGTCATGCATCACTAATCCCCTTTGTATCTTGTAAATCCCTTTTCCCTTGCTCATATGCCTTACTACAAAACAAAAAATATATGTAGTTAAGCAAACTCAAACCAGCAAGGATCCAATAATAGTAATCATAGTGACCCTTATTAATGTCACTAGATACCCAACTCTCCTTCCCAAATTTTTTAGTAACACAGTCAACAACAGTTATAATTAAACTTGCAAATAAGCTTGCAATACCCATGCCTAGCCCTTGAAGGTTTGATGCTATACTAGACATACTCTTAGGGAATTCCGAGTAAAAAAGCTCGATTTGAGCGATAGCTGAAAAGGCTTCGGCCAAGCAAAAGAGGCAAACTTGTGGCACTAGCCACAATGCCGACATAGGCACCGTGGAAGAGGTTTTATCTTCTAAGATTTCTCCTTTAGTTGCCATATCTCGACGGATACTCTCCACAATTCCGGACACCAACAAGCACGCAAATGAGAGTAGTAATCCAATTCCCATTCGTGTCATAACGTGCAAACGTACGGGTTTGCCATGACCTTGGACGCCTTAGGGATGATAACACGGTCATAAAGGATGAGCCAAAACATCAATGTGATTAGTCCAAAGGTACCAAAGGAGCCTGGAGGAATTTCGAAGGTTGGGGTTAGGATATGTCGATCCATCGAGAATGCTTGAAGGACTCGAAATGAAGTTGTGTTTGCATGCACACCCATCATGATTCCGGTTGACCATAATGGGATTAAGTTGATGATTGATTTGAAATCTTCAACTTGATCTATTGTGCATAAACGCCATGGATCAACCACCATTTCATCTGGGGTGAGGTCTTGTCTAGGGTCCATCACAATACACGCCTTGTTTAGAGACCTATCAAAATGTAAAACAATGAGCCATAGTTTTTCATGTCCTCAACTACTTAAGACCAAAGTTTTACCATGACATAAATGAAAAATGAACCTAGCTGGACTAGAAAAGTAGTGTATAAAATGGGTTTAATCTTTAATGTTACTCCAAATTTTTACATTTTACACAAAATTTACCTATTCATTAACACGAGTATTTATTGAAATTATCCACCTTCCACCTCACAAATGTATTTATTTTCTAGAGTTCATATTAAAGTAAGTTAAGAGGAATGTAAAGAAATAACACGCATATTATTTAGGAAATTAGGACAAACATAAATATACACGTGACTAGAGGTGGCCAGTGGGCCGGGTTGGACCCAGCCCACCCTAACCCGCACGGCTGGTGGGTCACGTGGGTCTAACCTAACCTGGCACAGCCCGACACAGCTCGAATTTAACCCGGGTTGTGTCGTGGGTCCAAAATTTTCAACACAACCTATTTCAACCAAGCTCGGTTTAACCCGTTTGATTCGACCCAACTCTCACAACCCGTTTTAACCAATTTAATTCGACACACCTAGCCCGTGAACCCACCTAACCCGACCCACCTCGCACAACCCAGCCCGCACAGCCCACCCGCATGCATGACCCACCCAACCCACCTAACCCGCACGACCCACCCAACCCACACGGCCTAACATCCATTTAAAAAAAAAACGGCTAGTTTTTTCAAAACTAACGGCTAGTTTTTTGTATGTACCGGCTAGTTTTTTGAGTGTATGATCATCCCTTCAATTTTCCCTATAAATACCAATTCCACACTTCACTCAAATTTCCACACAACTCAAGCTTTCTTTCTCTCTTACTCAAAAATTCTTAATTGTTCTCAAATTCTCAAGTGTTATATAGAGTTTTATTTTTGTTTAAAAAAATCTCCTATATATTATTATTAGCATTCTTAAGATTCTAAAAAAAAAAAAAAAAAAAAAAAAAAAAAAAAAAAAAAAGTTCTTCTCCATATTATAATTAGTAATCATAAAAAAAAAATTAAAAAAAAAAAAAAAATGGGCTCAAGAGGAGGAATGGGAAGGAATCAAAGTGGTGGTCGAAGTGGTGGCCAAAGGAGTGGTGGTGCAAATTTTACGTATGAAATTAATACGGAAAATTTAAACCAATTTGTCAATGAATATGGAGATTATGGTTTAGGAGATAGGCAAAATATTCAAACGTCTCCACCATAACATTTCTCCCATCAATCATCGATTTCAACTATGTCACCTCCATCGCAACCAACATCACAACCAACATCTCAACCTTCATCTCAAGGTAATTACTAATTAAATTTTTATTGTTATGAATATTTAAAAAAATAAAGTTAGTTTAGTTTTCAATTTTCTATGATTTACAATTAGTTAATTACCATGAAAAATGCGTTTAAATAAATATAATTAAAATATTTAAAATTTAAAAGCTTCTTTTCATGAATAGCGTTTAAAATTAATTTCAATAATTTGATTTATGAAAGGGTGGTGGCGGTGAAAGTAGAGGTCGAGCACAATTTTCTTGGGTGTGGAAACATTTTGAACGAGTTGAGGTCACACCCCCGGGATGGCAACCCGGTCAACCAAAGAGGTTCACGTGTACATGCCTAGTTTGCAAGGCGCTAGGTGCAAATGTCAAGTCATATAGTTGGAAAACGGGAGATGGAACCGGAACCTTAAGTCGGCATTTGCAAAATAAACACGACTTGTTCGAAAATGGCCTCCGTCCTTCGGTGGGTGGCGTCCAAATACAATTGGGTGGAATACATGAACCAACCCGGCGGAGGTACACCTTTCATTTATAGTAAAGATAGAATGATTGATGAAATGAAGTACTTTAGTTATTGCTAATGAATACCCTTTTAGTTACGGTGAAAATGCAAACGTTGAGCATTTTAATAAAGTTGCATTACAACCTGCATTTACTCGTGTCCCCCGAAATACCCTAAGACGTTATAACACAAACTTCTTATTATAAGTATAGGAGTGGTTTGATTGAATTATTTCGTACTTTTGATGGTCGTGTTAGTTTTACAAGTGATACATGGACTTCTAGTTTTGGCGAACCTTTTCTTTGCATTACTGCTCATTGCGTGGATGATGATTGGTTTATTCAAAAACGTATACTATGTTTTCAAGCTATGGAAGAAAAGCATACCGTTTTAACATCAAAGTTCATATTTTGGATTGTTTAAAAGAATTTCACTTGAATAATAAAGTTTTTTCTTTGTCTCTTGATAATGCAACTGCAAACACAAAGTGTATTGACTATTTGAAAAAATGACTCTAAGTTGCATTTGTTGTTGGGTGGTAGTCTCTTGCATGTTAGATGTTGTGCTCATATTTTGAATTTGTCTGTTCAAGAGGGTCTCGCTGAGTTGCAACCATTGCTAAACCCAATTAGAACAGTTATAAAATGGATTAGGATTACTCAGTCAGTTAGAAGAAAGTAACTAGCTTTGTGTAAAGAGAGAGGTCTTAAGAAAAGACAATGGTCTATTGATACCCCTACCCGTTGGAATTCTACTTTCAAGTTGTTGAGTGATGCTATAAAGTATCGTGACAGTTTGACCCAACTTTACAATGAGACTCGTGTTGATCCTACTGAGTTAATAAGCGAAAGTCATTGGACTAATGCTTCTTTTGTTCGTGATGTTTTAAAATACTTTGATATTGCAACTCATATTTTCTCTTATATTTATGAGCCTAATATTCATTTAGTCATAATTGAGTGTGTTAAAGTTGCTCACACCATCGAAGAGCATATGATGATTGATGGACTTCGTCCTGTTCTTGATAGCATGAAACGTAAGTGGCATACTTATTTAGTGAATTTCCAATCATTTATGGAAATTGCTGTTATTCTTGATCCCGGTGTCAAAGCTGAAGATTTGGAAAATCTTTTAATTTATTATACAAGTTTAAGTATCGATTATGATGTTAGTAAATATCTTAACAAATGTAAATCTGTTTTGGGAGACCTTATGATCATTATGCATCTATTTATGGTTTTGATTTGGCAACACCAACTACTACTAGCACTTCCGATTCTAGATTTGGTTTTCTTGATAAAGTTATGAAAAAAAACACAAAGCATCTACATCATTCTCATCATCATCTTCTTCAACACTTGCTATTAATGATTATTTGACATATCAACATGAGAACCAACAACAACTTTTCAAATTATAAAATGTGGCAAGAACATAAAAAAAGTTTTCCTATATTGGCGAGAATTGCAAAAGATATACTTGCAGTTCCCGCTTCATCTGTTGCTTCCGAGTCTGCTTTAGTGAAGGTAGAAGAGTGTTAGATGAAAAAAGATCTCGCTTAACTCCGGAAAGCATTCAAATTTGTGTTTGTAAGAAAGATTGGGATCAAGCTGAAAGAAGAACTCAAGGTTTAAAGGAAGACGAAGACGATGAAGATGATCCTGTGATGATATTGGAGTCGTCAACGGATGATGCAGCTTCCGGGGATGATGATGCAACAAACATGGGTGGCTAGAAAAGTCTAAATCAGGTACGCTAAGAACTACGTGGGCTTTGATTCTTTCGGGATACGTAGGCAACTTACTTTTCGAAAAATTACAATTTAATTGCAAAATTAAATTTTAGTTGTCTAAAGATAGGTCCAAGCCCCTCTCCCCCAAATTCCAAAAGAAGTACAATATAAGAACTACTGGGCTTTGATTCTTTCGGGATACGTAGGCAACTTATTTTCAAAAATACAATTTAATTGCAAAATTAAATTTAGTTTTCTAAAGATAGGTCCAAGCCCCTCCTCCCCCCAAATTCCAAAAGAAGTACAATATAAGAACTACGTTGGCTTGATTCCTTATTTTATAATAATATAAGGATATGTAGGCATCTTAATTAAGAGCAACTGAGCAAGCCATCAAATATGTTAATTTTGTAAAAAATAAAACACCAACACAACCACCCGACCCTAACCCACTAACCCACCCTAACCCACTAACCCACCTGACCCGTCTAACCCACTAACCCAGCTCGACCACCCACGACCCGTCTAACCCACGAACCCAGCTCGACCCACCCACGACTCGTCTAACCCACGAACCTAACCTGGTGTGTCCAACTTCTCCGACCCAACCCACGACCCGGCCCACCCTACCCTACGGTGTCGTGCCGTGTGTCATGAAACCCCAACCGCGAACCACCTAACCTAACCCAGCTCGCACAACTCGCACAGTGGACACTCTACACGTGACATATTATTTTGGGACGGGGTTGGTAATTATGTATCCTTTTGGTGAAGGTCGTTGCACAACCATGCTGAAATAAACAAAGTTACAAAGCAATAAGTAGAAACAAATAACTCAAGAAAAAAAAAAAAAAGAAAGGGACATCACCTTAGTTTCTCGCTTGGAAATTCTTGCGTAGATCCTTTCACAACATGATAAACTTTGTCCACATTCAACTCGCTTGGAAACTCATAATGCCTATTCCTCCAAGAAGCAACGATGACTTGAGCGAATCCGGTAAGCAAGCTAGCCTTAGGAGGCTTCACCTTGACATAAAACGAAGAAGCCAAGAAGAACGAAACAACCGAAAGTAACATAAGCAAGGTAGGAACTCCGAAGCCAGCTTGCCACCCTGCATGATCTTGATGTACACAACACATGTAAGACCAAAGAGAACCGATATTGAGACCGAAAAATAGTACCAATTGAAGAAGCCTCTAATAATCCAACGCAATTCGGTTTTTGCATTTTCGTCTACTCCATTTCTTGCTATTTGATCTGCCCCAAAGGCTAATGTAAAGACCTAATTCCACTGTGCCAATTGACATTAGGCCAAAAGAAGAGAAAAGAAGGATGAGCTGAAATGGTGTTGGAGATGGGTTAGTGTTAGCGGCGGATTCGAATTTGTATGGCGTTGCTCCTGGATCATAGTTGTTGACCATAGAAGCATCGTCCCTGTGGTATAGTATCAATGTCATGCATTTAGTTAATTAATTAACAAAATAAATTTTTTCTTTAAAGGTTATTGGATGCAAGCATGCAACTTTTTTATTTCGATCCACGTTATTACTTCTTCTGTCATATATGTCAATCCCTCGTGATCATACAAAAAGATATTTTAATACATTTCTACGTTCACCTATCACTTAAATCGTATATCGTGGAATATTATGACTTGTATACTCGTACCATATATGTGACAATTTTTTCGGGCATCCTAAAACATTACATAGACACCTAATTCCAACCGAATTAAGTATCTCCTTAATATTTTAAAACCTAAAATCATGCATAACGGAATAATGGAAACAAATAAATTACGTAGTAGAAAACATATACGAGTAGTGAAAAAATAAATACTCTGTAAAATAATACAAAGTACGGAGTAAAGTTACCAAGAGACTAAAAAATGGAGCCAAATGCGATCATTGGGAAGCGGCCCACATAAGAATCGGCAAGAAAAGCGCCCAAAATAGGGGTGAAGTGGTAGCAGCAGCCCACAAGAAAAAGAATGTTGGATCAGTTGCCATTCCAATCCATAATTTCCCATTAGATAAACTATCATATTGGGCTCCAGCCCATAAAATGCAGCTCTCTCAAATCCCTCATTGCTGCAATTTCAATTAAAAATAAATTAATAATTTATACTTAAATTAGAAAGTTCAAATTTATTACAAGTAATTATTATAACAACTTTATTGTAATTTAAGTATAAAATAAAGTGAGAGAGTGAGAGATAGATCAAGTGTTAGAGCTTCCCTCCGATTCCAAGAGATCTTGGGATCGATTCTCATCAATCGTCCCTGTGGCTCTCTAAACACCAAAAAAATAAAAGTATAAACTAAAGTACTTAAATTAGAAAGTTCAATTTATTCATTCCAAAATTGGTTCACAGTTAAGTTCTACACGTCTCTAGCAATTGAGACAAGTTTGATAACATTAGTAGTTATAACTTATAAGCTATCATAAAACTAATCGACAATGTGTGAAAGTCATCCTTGCCTCTTTGTCCCAAATATGACGACTTATATGTGGATTTTTCTTGTAACGGGCTAGTGGCTATAACAAGAACTTTTTGGCCTAAATTGTCATTCATAAATCACAAGTCTCCTTTTGAAGTTTTATGAGGTATGTAGTATCCTCATTCTTCCTGAGTGCTTTGTGTAATCAAATTGTATGTTGTAAATTTTGAGGATAGAGGTAGCATTTAAATAACTTTTCTCACATTAAAAAAAAGTGTTTTAAAAGTAGCAGGTCGCGTTCAGTGTTTATTAATTTATTTTTTTATTATTATTACTTTCTAACCATACTTGTGAATTTTTCTTCAAAGAAACAATATGTATCAATGTATATTAACTCTATCCACTTTTAACTGACAGCAACTCGTTACTTTGATAGATACCCACTAATCGACCACTAAAAACTATCTGCTACCACTAGTTTTGTCAAACAGAGTCATAGACATTTCTCATAAACTTTTTTTTAATAGTATTAATCTCCTATTCTCCTCCAACATCCCTTAATTTGAATTAACTACACATTATTTTTTAATTTCAAGACAAATTACAACTCGTACGCAATATTTTACTACATTTAATTTACTTTTTTATAACTTAGTAATCCATATTAGTCAATTGAAACTATATCTATATACACCTTTTTTTTTTTTAAATAAAGGTAAGAAAAATAGAGGACATTAGGAGACCCTCCTCACGAGGGAACTCCTAAAAGTCCTAATGCAACTACATATACCTAATTAGGTGCATGACTTGTATTTTCTGCTCATTTGATATTTTATTTAAAATGGGTTAAAAAAAACATAAAATTATCAGTTATACCTACTTCTATGTACACCCAAATATTACTTCAAGAAAAAATAATTATACACCCAAATATATATACTCCATAAAAGATCCAACTACTCTATAAAGTGGGATACTTTAAAAACTACTCCTTATTAAAGAAAGTACCGAGTATATTACTTTCTTGAAGAAATTCTTTAACACGGAAAAGTACAAAACTTTTGGGGGGCGGAAATTTGGAGAACATGGTTAGTTACGCAAAATAAGTTTTCTGACACGAAACTGACACTTCATACTTCCAATTTCATCGGAGTATAAAGTTTGTGAAGTGTTTGGTGAATTATAGTAGTAGTACTACGTGTTGCTTACTCATGAAATCACAATATCATATACAGCAGTAGTAATTTTTTTTTTTTTTTTTTTGGTAAGTTTCTTTATTAAATTTTCATTATTCATACTCTTGACTACATGACATAAATACACAAGAAGTTTGCAGTTTAGCAATAAACTCAAAAAAAATATACCGTTTTTTATTAGTTAACACGTTTTGACTTTAGCACTATTCACACACCTCTCTTTGACCATGTTTTTGTGATTTATATGTGAAGAAAAATATAGTCGAGTGGATTTTGTTAGATTCATCACAATGTATATTTTTAAATATCAACTTTTTATAATTTTTGCTTATCGGTAATTAAAGATATTAATGATTGAATTTGTGCATTTGCAAATGTGACTAAAGAAACGTGTAAACTAAAAAGAAATGGATGAAGTAAATATTAGTCAATCTTGCATAATTTATCCATATGAGAATTAGTGTTGGCTTAGTTAATTGGAGACTTGAAGGTTTTCCTTACACCTTGTGACAGGGGTTTGATTCTCATCCCAACAAGTGGGATCCCCTATCAAATGGGGTTTAGACACTTTATAACACCACTTCGATCAAACCACCTACTAATAATAACACCATTTCGATCAAACCACCTACTAATACTATAGTTTTCAAAATCCACTTACTTTACAGTTTACACCACTCAATAATAATAATAATAATAATGAAAACGTAATTTTTTTTTTTCATCAAACCTAAAAAAACCCTGAAGCTTATGTTCATATTTATTACTTTAATAGTTTCACACATATCTATGGAAGACTAGGATGAGATTAAAAAAATTAACAAAATATGGAGTACTACTATAATGCTAATTTTAGGCAAGCTTAATACGATTTTTTTTTGGTGCAAATCTTAATACGATAACTATATATATATATATATATATATAGGGGAGGGATCCGGTAAGAACCCCTAGATATATAAGAACCCTAGATATATAAGAATCCATCTCAACCGTAGGATCAAGTTGTTTTAGACGGTTAAGATTAAAACACGTGTCCAACTTTTTCAACCCCTTACCCACCTCCCAACCTTTTCTCTCTCCTCTAACTTTCTTTCCCTTCTTCCCGATTCTCTCATTTTCTCTCTCCTAAAACCCCCAAAAATATGATAGAAGTTGCAATTTGAAGGATTTTCGCTTCAGGTATGTTATTCTTTTCGATTTTGTTCAAATTTTCATGAAATTAGCATGATGTTCAAGTGAATTTGCAGTTTTAATTGGTGATTTTTGCAATTTTTAGGGTTCGGATTTAGGGTTCTATTTTTGCGATTTTTAGGAGTCGATTTTTGCGTATTATTTTGTGCGATTTTTGAGTTGGATTTTTCGTATGGAGTTTGATTATTTTGAGTTCGAGTTTAGCAAATTTAGGGTTCGAATCTTTGCGAATTATTTTGTTCGATTTTTGCGAATTATTTTGTTTGATTTTTGCGAATGATTTTTGTTCGATTTTTGTTCATTATTTCGATCAATTTTTGTTCATTATTTCGTTCGATTTTTGTTCATTATTTTGTTCGACTTTTGTGAATTATTTTTGTTTGATTTTTGTGAAATATTTATGTTCGAAAAATTTGATCTGTCAATTATTTTTTTTTTGTTCGAATTAGTTCGATTTTTGCAAATTAATGTCAATTTTTGAATTTTTTTTTTGAGTATGTGTATTCGAACAATAGATCTGTTGCTGCTATGGCTATTACTACAGCCTCTTCTACTCTGCCTACTGCCCCTCCTATCTTCTTCAAGGTTAATTTATATATATTTTGTAGTTGAAGGCATTTGGTGAATTTTATGAAGAAATTGATAACAAGAGTGTCGTTTTGTCCACTTTCGAAACAAGAAACATTGAGATGAAATGGAAGAGCAATGCAAACAAACATGATTGTGGAGTATTTTTGTTGAAGCACATGGAAACCTATGAAGGACAATGTCAAAAACAATGAAATTCGGGGCTAGAGAAGGGTAATGTACGTGTCAAGACATATGATTGATTAGGTTCTAATTACATCTCCATATTCTGATTATGTTCTAAAGTAATTCTGATTATGTTCTAATTCTGATTATGTTCTAAGTTAAATGTCTATGTTCTAAAGTAAATCTGATTATGTTCTAAAGTAATTATGATTATGTTCTAAGTTTAATGTCTATGTTCTAAAGTTAATCTGATTATGTTCTAAAATTACTTGATTATGTTCTAAAGTAATTCTGATTATGTTATGAGTTAGATGTCTATGGTCTAAAGTTAATCTGATTATGTTCTAAAGTAATTATGATTATGTTCTAAGTTTAATGTCTATGTTCTAAAGTTAATCTGATTATGTTCTAAATTACTTGATTATGTTCTAAAGCAATTCTGATTATGTTATAAGTTAGATGTCTATGTTCTAAAGTTAATCTGATTATGTTCTAAAGTAATTATGATTATGTTCTGA